AGAAAGTTCATTTATTGAGAATAAGTGTACAGTTCCAAAGCATTGCTAAGACTGAGCAAAAGCGCGCCAAAAGTTGTTTTTCTTACTTTAGCCCCCCCCTTCACCTCCCTTAGTTCTTGGTCTTCTGATCCCCTTGCTGGTACGACCTTGCACATTCCAGTGCCTGTGATAAGAAGCCATCTGCTTTTAACGGTTTCTCATTCCTTCTCCTCCTCCCCCTTTTCCAATGGCAGAACCGCAGCATATAAAAAGCAATTTCTAAACTAGCCATATAACAATCTATTATAAAATCTTGTGAGGATTCTGACAGACTCTTCGTGACCCCATGAACCATATCGCGCCAGGCCTTCCTGTCGTTGAATGAAGCAATTACTTTACATTATTTTAACTTGGAATGTTTAAGTTCTGATCCCAAATCCAGACACAATTAAAAGACATCTATTTATTTCAACAGATATTGATCAGACTTTTCAATCCAATCACTATAGGCATTTAAACATAATTTTTAACAATCACAGATTATGAAAAACCATCAGAGTAATTCAACTTTTTATCTTCAGTGAGAAAAAATCTCCTAACCCACCCTCATGGTTATTGGAAGTATAGGAAGTCCTCTCTGCCAGCCTTCATTTCTACCCATGAAAAATTTTGTTAGGTTAAAAATTCTGCCTCCAGAATCCAAACAGCAATAGGCTCCACAATACATTATTCTAGTTACCCAACCAGTTTTGAATTCACTGGATCTAAAGCTCTTTTTTACCAGTTGATTTGGCCCTTCTATTTTTTTAAAACCCCAAAAGTTCAGTCCATTGGAAAAACCGTCCCAGTGCCCACATCTAAAATGTAAAGCAGCAGAATGTTGAAATGGAAAAGAGTTCACCATTGTACTCTCCCATCCAGTCCCACTTATAGGAAGAAAATTATTAATTAATTTCCATCTGAAAACTATGAAGGAGCAAAAATTATATTAACAAACCCTATATAATTGTAGGAGCATTAGTACAAGACCTGCACCAATGTACAGTACTGGGCAAAAGTTTTAGGCAAGTGTGAAAAAATGCTGTAAAGTATGAATGTTTTCAAAAATATATATTGTAATTGTTTATCAATTTACAAAATGTGAAGTGAGTAAACAGAAGAAAAATCCAAATCAAATCAATATTTGGTGTGACTACCCTTTGCCTTCAAAACAGCATCAATTC